CGGGGTGCTCCGGGAGGGAGGGTCCCGTCCCGGGTCCCTGGGGACGCATCGGCGGGGCAGAGGCCGGGCGCTGGCGGGCAGCTCTGGTGACCAGGCGGGGTTATTTCGCCCATCACGGACATGGCGAAGGAAACGGGACGTGGCTAAATCCCGAGGTATTTCGGGTCACCCTGGGAGCAGAGCAGGGGTACCACACGTAGGTACTTCATCCGTCAGCTCGCCGGGCCGCCAGCGGGCACATGGAACCTATTGAAGGACTAACTGAAGAAATGTGCAAACATTTAAGGCTTTGCATTAACGTGACGTTTAAGCACTAGATGCCCTTAAGCTTGTATTTGCTGTCTGTCAGTGCCCGTGTTGCTGGTGACTGCCTGTGGCTTCCCAGAGCATCCTGAAACCAGGATCAGCTGTCCCTTAAAATATGCAGCTAGGCCAGTACAACTGGGGTGGCCCAGCTGTGGGAAAATATCTTCCAAATGGGACTTGAGTGCATTTTGAAGGCTCAAAAACCCAACAGGGTACATAAAGAATCCATTTCCATTTTAAAAACTCAGGAATTGCAAGCAAACTTCACAATTTATGATGCACTATTTTGACTCATCCATTTCCTGATGTTTGGGTTGGACAGCATTGGCACCCTCAGGGTGACTGGTACCTAGCGAGGCAGTACACCCCCAAACATCAGTTATATGTTTTATTGGGGTCTCTCTTTTTACAGCAGTTTTTATTTTCTAATATTTAGTTGAATGCTGTTGTTTCATAAAAACGTGTCACACACATTTTTTAATAATCGATTGGTTCAATTAGAAAGAACGTACAGTGATGGTCTAGTCCAACTTTCTGACCACTTCAGGATTGATCAAAAGTTAGTGTGTGTTGTTAAGGGCTTCTTAAACTGTGACAGGCTTGGGGCATGAACCGCCCGTCCAGGAAGCCAGTTCCAGGGTTTGACCACCCTCTCTCCAAATAAATGCTTCCTAGCATCCAGTCTGGTTCTCCCCTGGCACAGCTTTGAGTTGTTCCCATGCATCCTCTCCTTGGATGCCAGGGAGAAGAGCTCAGCCCTTCCCTCTCCATGTCCCTTCCTCAGGAAGCTGCAGAATCACAGAATCACCATAGAGTGTTAGGGAAGGGACCTCTGAAGATCATCAAGTCCAACACCCCTGCCAGAGCAGGACCAAAAAACTAGGGCAGATCACTCAGAAAGGCATCCAGACAGGTCTTGAACTTTCTTGAACTTTTTTACCTGTCTGGGCAGCCTGTCCCAGGGCTCTGTAACCCTCCCAGTAAATAAGTTATTCCGCGTGTTGAGGTGGAACTTCATGTACTCAAGTTAGAATCCATTGCCCCTCCTCCTATCACAGGGCACAAGTGACAAGAGCTTGGCCCTGCCTTCTTGATGCCCTCATGTATTTATGGACATTAATTAGATCCCTCCTAAGCCCCAGGTCTCTCAGCCTTTCCTCGTTAGGCAGGTGTTCAGTTCTTTCATCATCCTTGTAGCCTCTGTTGAACTCTCTCCAGTAGATCCCTGTCCCTCTTGAACTGGGGAGCCCAGAACTGGACACAACACTCCAAGTGAGGTCTCACCACGGCCAACTAGAGGGGGAACCTCCCTCGATCTGCTGGAGACACTCCTCTTAATGCACCCCAAGATACCATTGGCCTTCTTGGCCACAAGGGCACATTGTTGTCCCATGGATAACTTGTCTACTAGGACTCCAAGGTCCATGAAGCTACATGCAGAGAGCCAAGAGGTGACCTCTTTACCTCCTTTGATCCAGACCAGACAATCCCAGAGTCCTCAGCTGCTCCTCACAAGACATGTCTTTCAACCCCTCGCCAACTTGGTTGCCCTCTCTGGGTGCATTCAACCTCCTTAACATCCTTTCCAGACAGTGTGGCCCAGACCTGCACACAGTACTTCAGGTATTTTAATTTCAATCCTTATACGTTTTCACCTGCCCATGTCTCCAAGTTTCCAGCTGAGCCCCTTAGTATTACGAAATACTAAGTGTCTGTGTTTCATCACCTACAAGAAAGAAATTATGCAGGTTGGCTGCTTTAACTTGCTGATGTTTGTCTGTGAAAATATGCAGAAGTTGACAAAATATACAATGTTTTTATATATGTCAATCTTGTTACATAAATTAATCTGTTATACTAACTCATTTAAAATAAATTTTGTTATATCGGGGCGCTCTTTATAGTGTGTGTCAAGTTTTCTGTAAATGACAGTGGAGAAAAGTCCAAATTAAACATCATACTTTTGTAAGGGTCATTTCTTCTGTATTCAGGATTATATTTTTAAAGAAAATACTGAATAAATTAAAAGGGAAAATAATATACATTAGTATGTTCTGTCCAGCACCTACTGAGAGAAGAAGGAAACATTTTCATCATTAAATCCAGCCTTGTAGAATTGATTGCTCCAGCTGAGGGATTAGGAATCATCCCTGTGAGTTTCTGCCAACTCCAGCACCTTCATCCAAGCCTCTCCACAGCTTCAGTTTATAACTCCTTGAGAAAAAAAAAAAAAAAAAAAAAAAAAAAAGGGTTAAAATTGTTAAGAGTGATTTCCAGCACGTAATATTAATTATACTGCATGAATTTTCCATGTGAAATGCTGGAGACTGTGGCTTGTGAAGAGTTTCCAAGACAAAGTTTTAGCTGAAAATCAGCTCTTTTACCTAAACTGTCTGAGTTCAGTACCAAGTACTGCAGTCATACGTGATGGTTCTGAGGTTTATGTTGCTTTCATAACTTCATGCATATCTATATTGCTTTCCAGGTATATAGGTAAACGGGGTCCCTGCTCCAAAGCATCAAAAGGGACAGCAATGGTAAGCAGAAGAGCAGTAAAAGCACTTCAAGAAAGCAGATTGTCACAGAGAGCAAGAGAGTATTGAAAAGCAGGTTGGAGAGCACAGGTAAACCAAAGGGGAAACAAACCACAATCCTGTTGGTCTGCACTTCATGAAACTGAATCATTCTTGCTATTAAAACACCCAATTTTTCAAATAAATGGGGGGTCTGATACTGGAATCTGCATTTATTCCAAATTTCCATTTACTTCATTAGAAAGTAAGAGCATTTTAAAATATTACTAAAGCTATTATTATTAGGGAAAAAATGAGGAGAAAACTGCAGTGCCCTGGTTGTGATGTCATCCTTGAGTGCTGAAGAGTTCTTAGAGCTGACTTGATTTCCTGGATCATTCATTTTCACTAATCAGTGAAAGAAGGCAAAAAAGGGCCAAACTGCATCTCAGGGTGGTTTCAGCTTCTCTCACTGGGGCAGGGTCTGATCTGCATGACATTACATGAAGGACTGGAGGAAAGATAATATCCCTCCAGTCTTCAAGAAGGGCAAGAAACAGGACCTGAGTAACTACACTCTGGTCAACCTCACCTCCATCCCTGGAAAGGTGATGGAGCAGCTCATTCTGGGGGTAATCTCTAAGTACATGGAAGAAAAGAAGGTTATCAGAGGTAGTCAGCATGGATTCACCAAGGGGAAATCATGTCTGACTAGACTTCAAGGTCCCATGGACAGCAACGTGGCCTTGTGGCTGAGAGAGCCAGATGTGTCTAGTAGGACAATGTAAGCATTGTCTGCTGTCACTCGTGGCATGCACCTTACGTGGAACAATCCCCCATACATGCAGCGCTGCAGTAAAGAATGCCTGCCTTCCAAAACTTAAAATCAACAGTTAGAGGGTTCTTTCAGGCACTGGATTTTATGGTGTCAGCAACACACAGCACACTTGGTAGAAAGAGAATGGTAGTAATGATGGCTGCAGCTTGCCTTTTTTGAAAATAAATAAATAAATAGTAAATAAAAATCTTGAACCCGTTCAATGCAAACTCGATAATTTTAATGAAACGCTAATTGCACAGCTCTGAGGACGAAGACGCCTGCTCTTTCTGCAGTTTTCCCACAATGAGGTGTGACAAATGGCGTAGTTGCAGGGAAGCAGGGTAGGCGAGCTGTGCTGTGCCTTGTGGGTGCTGTAGTCTGGCTGCTGCCCGCGGGCCCC